TACGTTTACAAACTGAAATTGAAGGAATTAGTACAAACTTTTGAGACGAAGATGGCAAGTAAAATTTAATTTTGATGTCTACTTACAAAGTGTATGCAATTGATAATAAATTAATGCGTCACTTTTAATTGTTTTCTTACACAAAAGTTATAGTAATTAATTTGTATGAAAGGGGGCGTTTTAAGAAGTTTTGCATAGAGCGCTAAATAACCTGGCGCCGGCACTGTTCAAATACCACGGTCACCGAGACAGGTAAACTCTTCTTCATCTGCTTCGTAGATTGCCAGTGCCGATATAAGGAAATTCAAGTCCAATGTTAGATAAATATTTTGAGGTCCCTAAAATATGTTTTTAAAAAAACATTTTAATTCTTTAATAATTTCTTTAATATTGTATAACTGCTGCTGGATACAATGTCAACAAAGCATTTTTTTCGACAACATACTAAAAAAAAACATTCCGTTGAAAATAAAAATAACAGAGGGATGAGTCGTTAGCTTAAATTCTTCATTGGCGTGATTTTTTTTTTTGTTTCTATGGCAACACATTGAAATCATTTCAAACGATGGGGATTGTGTGTATTAGTTGAGTGAGGGCGTGTGGAGTTTTTTGTGGGGGGGGGGGGGATGCTTTGTCGATCTTCTTGTCTATTGATTCACTCCGTCATCTGTCTTGATTCATCCATCATCAGCCACATCTTTTCATCCATCACAACCACACCGCCACAAGTCTGGGTCTACAGTGTCAACGGGCACTACGAAACACCTAACACAACTTAACGATATCTCTATCTGAAGTGTGAACTCCTTGAGAAGCTGTAAGGTGGTATATTATCTGGTGATCAGTGCAAGTTACTGTGACCTTTTGTGGTAAGTCGTTGGTGGGTTACTGTGGTAAGTCGTTGGTGGGTTACTGTGGTAAGTCGTTGGTGGGTTATTGTCGCAAGTTACTGTCTCTTCTATCTGGGTGGGTTATTGTAGCTAGTCTTTGGTGGGTTATTGTGGTAAGTCGTTGGTGGGTTATTGTAGCTAGTCGTTGGTGGGTTATTGTAGCTAGTCGTTGGTGGGTTATTGTAGCTAGTCTTTGGTGGGTTATTGTAGCTAGTCTTTGGTGGGTTATTGTCGCAAGTTACTGTCTCTTCTATCTGGGTGGGTTATTGTAGCAAGTCGTTGGTGGGTTACTGTGGTAAGTCGTTGGTGGGTTATTGTCGCAAGTTACTGTCTCTTCTATCTGGGTGGGTTATTGTAGCTAGTCGTTGGTGGGTTACTGTGGTAAGTCGTTGGTGGGTTATTGTCGCAAGTTACTGTCTCTTCTATCTGGGTGGGTTATTGTCGCAAGTGGCTGTCTCTTCTAGCTGGGTGTGTTATTGTCGCAAGTGGCTGTCTTTTCTATCTGGGTGGGTTACTGTAGCTAGTCGTTGGTGGGTTACTGTGGTAAGTCGTTGGTGGGTTATTGTCGCAAGTTACTGTCTCTTCTATCTGGGTGGGTTATTGTCGCAAGTGGCTGTCTCTTCTAGCTGGGTGTGTTATTGTCGCAAGTGGCTGTCTTTTCTATCTGGGTGGGTTACTGTAGCTAGTCGTTGGTGGGTTATTGTCGCAAGTTACTGTCTCTTCTATCTGGGTGGGTTACTGTGGCAAGTCGTTGGTGTGTTATTGTCGCAAGTGGCTGTCTTTTCTATCTGGGTGGGTTATTGTCGCAAGTGGCTGTCTGTGCTAGCTGGGTGGTTTATTAAGGCAGGTCTTTGGGTGGGTTACCCGAGTAAGTCTCCAAAGCAGAGGCGTGGCGAGGGGGGGGGGGTACATATGTCCCCTGGCGCCGACCTTAGAGGGGCCAAAATGGGTTGGAAAAACAAATTAAAATCTCATTTTAGCTGTAGTTTTGCATGATAAATATAAAACATATATGGGGGGTGCACATTGAAAGTTTGAGGGGGGTGCAAATTGAAAATTGAAAGGTTGTTCCCGAGGGGGCGCTAAAATTGAAAGTTTGTCCCCGGACGCCGGTAAGGGTCGCTACGCCTCTGCTCCAAAGTGCACAAAGGTCCGAAACATAAGCTGCAAACTCTTTATTTAATAAGTAGGTCTAGATATCCAACTTCGCTCATGAATGAACACTAAAGCATACCGATAAACGAACCGGCCAGTAAAACAAATACGGAAAGCTGTATCAGATATGAACTTGTTGGCAGACGGCTTAGCCTCGGGTTTTGACGCCGGGTAATTCCCCGTGAGTGGACACAAGTGGACGGCCGGTGTGGCCCGCGGGCCCGCCGTTGTTTGATCAACTACTCAGACGGTAATCCGGCCTGTTATGGCGGCGCCCCGGCCGTGACCGCCACCAAATCTAGACGAGATTTACGGCCCGAGCGAGGGGCCGCCGATAAAAGGGCTCTCTCCGCGATGGAAAAAAAACAAACACACACAACTTCGCGCTGGTGTAGGGATTTCACGGGGTCAGAGGTCAAGGGGATTATAAAATCTCGAGGGTTCTAAAAGTATTGAATCATGTACATTCCCAACGCCCACACAAAAACAAAGGACACCATCGCTATCAATAGATTGGCTAACTTGTTCTTCGTTCTTAACTTGAATGTTGGACGGGATTTCCTCCTACACAATTAAGTATTACATGCCAACCTGTTATGCGCTATATAGGCCGTTGACTTCGTTTAAGCCTGCTTTTCATTTTGGATTTGCATAGCCTTTGTCCAACCAAGAACAAACTACAAGGCATCAGTTGTTTGATTGTGGAGTTTTCTCTCCTAGATGGGTTGCTGTTCCCTTCTATCGAGCCTCATCATCGGGGGTTCGAACTTGGGATCGCCAGACTAAACAACCATTTACGCCTATTTATTTATGTGTTTATTTAAACTGGTATCCCACAGAGGCGTAGCGGGGGGGGGGGGGGGTACATATGTCCCCGGGCGCTGATCCTAGGGGCGCCAAAATGGGTTTGAAATAAAAATTAAAAGCTCATTTTAGCTGCAGTTTTGCATTATAAATATAAAAAATATAGGGGGGGGCGCCAAATTGAAAGTTTGTCCCCGGGCGCCGGGAAGGGTCGCTACGCCTCTGGTATCCCACACCAGAATGGGGACACCAGTCACCTAGATATCGTCTTTACCTGGCTGGGTGCCATGTTTACCTTGTCCTGTTCTCGTCTATATTTACCTAGTTGACATTTACAGGTGACAAATCTTTATGGATAGCTTGATCCACCACACACCTACTTGACAATTTGAGAACCTCGGCTATAAAATGTATACACAAATATTTCTCGCTTTTATCTTGAGTACTCTATAAAAACCACACATATATTTATATCAAGTACTCTTTAAAAGCCACACATATATTTAACTTACCACACAAAAACACATATATAATTGAATTTAGACTAAGAGGACGAACTAAAAGATTATATTGACTCCTTTTTATCTTGAAAAACACTAAGTATTACTTTTTTTTCTCAAAGGATGTCTGGAAAGAAAGTTCACTAACAATCATTTAACATTTCATTTAGCACTCTTTCTCTTAAACGATTCCACCGCGTTTTATATTTATTTACCCAAAAATAAGCTATAACCCTTGTCCTGACATTACTCTGGTCTTGACCTTACCAGAAATCTGACCCCAACAGTGATACTGCTTTGGGGGGGGGGGGAGCTCTCAACTTTCCCAACTCCGCTCTCCCCCCTTCACCCTATCCCAATAATAATACTACCACTTACGTATGCTAATAACTGGTCGTTAATTTTTGTAACAGTTTTTGTGTTACCTGTAACCGGTGGTGTCTGGCGAATGTTATAAATAACCTGCACCACCCGGGGATATCGCCTGCTACTTTTGTTTTCCCGCTCTAGATATCTAAGGGCAGGTAATAATTTATACAACATGGAAGGATTTGTTTCCCCTTGCGTACGTGTTTGTGTGCGGCAACATTCGTGAAGCGAAGTGTTGTCAAGTTATCTCCCGTTTATTGCGTCATCGACATGTGTGTGGCGCGCGCGTGACGTGTTTAGACACCAGTGAACGCGTCTGCGGGTCATGTCAGCCTATGACAACTGTCAACTTTTTATTCTAAACACTTTTCTTAAAGTTTAGACAGTTTACAATTTTTTTTAAAAAATGTAAATTACTTCATAAGTTCCCTTGTGGGTTTTTTTTTTAATTTATTTTTTGTTTACTTACCCATAGTAGTCAAAAAAACTAAACAATATTTGCAAGCAGAAATGACTTGTTCTGTCGTCACGAAAAAATGACTTGTTTATAAAGCAGACATAAGCTGCGTGTTGTCAACAACGCCTCCCTGATGTCTGCATGTTGATGTATTGTCTGCATGTTGATGTATTGTCTGCATGTTGATGTATTGTCTGCATGTTGATGTATTGTCTGGATATTGATGTATTGTCTGCATGTTGATGTATTGTCTGCATGTTGATGTATTGTCTGCATGTTGATGTATTGTCTGCATGTTGATGTATTGTCTGCATGTTGATGTGTTGTCTGCTTATTGATGTATTGTCTGCCCAAATTTAGACTTGTACTCTCAACGTATTTACTTGACCGAGGGTACCTTTATCTCCAGTAATTTCAACTTCGGTAATTTTACCTCAAGTAACCAGAGTTTCTTCCAGGCATCATTTCGGGGGCCTCTGTCGTCCCGTCCCCCCCCCCCGTCCCCAATAGAAAGTCTACCCACCCCCCCCCGAACGAGATGGAATTTACATATAATTTTACTAGTGTCCGCCCCCCCCCCCCCCCGAAAATATCAAGTGCCCCCCTCCCCTCCCCAGAGAAAAGAGTCTGGAAGAAACACTGCAAATAACGTGACCGCAGGTTATATTACCTCCTGTAAATTGTAAAGTTGGTAATTTTACCTTATTTAACTTTACCGTTGGTAATTTTTACCTCATATAACTTGACTTGAATCACGTGTATTGTAATTTTACGTGTAAGCTGGACGCTACCTTTGGCTAACATCACCTGTACCTCTGTCTGCAGGTAACAACGACGTGTTTGTGACCATTCAGCTAGGCAAGGAGAAGTACCAGACGTCCACCATCAAGAATGCCCTCAACCCGGAGTGGTTCGAGGAATGCGATCTGTAAGTTGGTTATGTCGTTATTATCTATCTTTAGCTGAGGCCTTGGTGGTGAGTTAGTTGTCCATCTTTAGCTGAGGCCTTGGTGGTGTTTGTTGTCCATCTTTAGCTGGGGCCTTGGTGGTGTGTTTGTTGTCCATCTTTAGCTGAGGCGCTGTGTTGTCCATCTTTAGCTGGGGCCCTGGTCGTGTGTTTGTTGTCCATCTTTAGCTGAGGCCTTGGTCGTGTGTTTGTTGTCCATCTTTAGCTGAGGCCTTGGTCGTGTGTTTGTTGTCCATCTTTAGCTGAGGCCTTGGTGGTGTTTGTTGTCCATCTTTAGCTGAGGCGTCGTGTGTTTGTTGTCCATCTTTAGCTGAGGCGCTGTGAGTTTATTGTCCATCTTTAGCTGAGGCCTTGGTGGTGTTTGTTGTCCATCTTTAGCTGGGGCCTTGGTGGTGTTTGTTGTCCATCTTTAGCTGAGGCCTTTGTGGTGTTTGTTGTCCATCTTTAGCTGAGGCCTTTGTGGTGTTTGTTGTCCATCTTTAGCTGAGGCGTCGTGTGTTTGTTGTCCATCTTTAGCTGAGGCGTCGTGTGTTTGTTGTCCATCTTTAGCTGAGGCCTTGGTGGTGTTTGTTGTCCATCTTTAGCTGAGGCGTCGTGTGTTTGTTGTCCATCTTTAGCTGAGGCGCTGTGAGTTTATTGTCCATCTTTAGCTGAGGCCTTGGTGGTGTTTGTTGTCCATCTTTAGCTGGGGCCTTGGTGGTGTTTGTTGTCCATCTTTAGCTGAGGCCTTTGTGGTGTTTGTTGTCCATCTTTAGCTGAGGCCTTTGTGGTGTTTGTTGTCCATCTTTAGCTGAGGCCTTGGTCGTGTGTTTGTTGTCCATCTTTAGCTGAGGCCTTGGTCGTGTGTTTGTTGTCCATCTTTAGCTGAGGCGCTGTGTGTTTGTTGTCCATCTTTAGCTGAGGCGCTGTGTGTTTATTGTCCATCTTTAGCTGAGGCCTTAGTGGTGTTTGTTGTCCATCTTTAGCTGAGGCGCTGTGTGGTGTTTATTGTCCATCTTTAGCTGAGGCCTTGGTGGTGTTTGTTGTCCATCTTTAGCTGAGGCCTTGGTCGTGTGTTTGTTGTCCATCTTTAGCAGAGGCCTTGGTTGTGTATGTTGTCCATCTTTAGCTGAGGCCTTGGTGGTGTTTGTTGTCCATCTTTAGCTGAGGCCTTGGTGGTGTTTGTTGTCCATCTTTAGCTGAGGCGTCGTGTGTTTGCTGTCCATCTTTAGCTGAGGCCTTGGTCGTGTGTTTGTTGTCCATCTTTAGCTGGGGCCTTGGTGGTGTTTGTTGTCCATCTTTAGCTGAGGCCTTGGTGGTGTTTGTTGTCCATCTTTAGCAGAGGCCTTGGTTGTGTATGTTGTCCATCTTTAGCTGAGGCCTTGGTGGTGTTTGTTGTCCATCTTTAGCTGAGGCCTTGGTGGTGTTTGTTGTCCATCTTTAGCTGAGGCCTTGGTGGTGTTTGTTGTCCATCTTTAGCTGAGGCCTTGGTCGTGTTTGTTGTCCATCTTTAGCTGAGGCCTTGGTGGTGTTTGTTGTCCATCTTTAGCTGAGGCCTTGGTCGTGTGTTTGTTGTCCATCTTTAGCTGAGGCGCTGTGTGTTTGTTGTCCATCTTTAGCTGAGGCGCTGTGTGTTTATTGTCCATCTTTAGCTGAGGCGTCGTGTGTTTATTGTCCATCTTTAGCTGAGGCGTCGTGTGTTTGTTGTCCATCTTTAGCTGAGGCCTTGGTGGTGTTTGTTGTCCATCTTTAGCTGAGGCGTCGTGTGTTTGTTGTCCATCTTTAGCTGAGGCGCTGTGAGTTTATTGTCCATCTTTAGCTGAGGCCTTGGTGGTGTTTGTTGTCCATCTTTAGCTGGGGCCTTGGTGGTGTTTGTTGTCCATCTTTAGCTGAGGCCTTTGTGGTGTTTGTTGTCCATCTTTAGCTGAGGCCTTTGTGGTGTTTGTTGTCCATCTTTAGCTGAGGCCTTGGTCGTGTGTTTGTTGTCCATCTTTAGCTGAGGCCTTGGTCGTGTGTTTGTTGTCCATCTTTAGCTGAGGCGCTGTGTGTTTGTTGTCCATCTTTAGCTGAGGCGCTGTGTGTTTATTGTCCATCTTTAGCTGAGGCCTTAGTGGTGTTTGTTGTCCATCTTTAGCTGAGGCGCTGTGTGGTGTTTATTGTCCATCTTTAGCTGAGGCCTTGGTCGTGTGTTTGTTGTCCATCTTTAGCTGGGGCCTTGGTGGTGTTTGTTGTCCATCTTTAGCTGAGGCCTTGGTGGTGTTTGTTGTCCATCTTTAGCAGAGGCCTTGGTTGTGTATGTTGTCCATCTTTAGCTGAGGCCTTGGTGGTGTTTGTTGTCCATCTTTAGCTGAGGCCTTGGTGGTGTTTGTTGTCCATCTTTAGCTGAGGCCTTGGTGGTGTTTGTTGTCCATCTTTAGCTGAGGCCTTGGTCGTGTTTGTTGTCCATCTTTAGCTGAGGCCTTGGTGGTGTTTGTTGTCCATCTTTAGCTGAGGCCTTGGTCGTGTGTTTGTTGTCCATCTTTAGCTGAGGCGCTGTGTGTTTGTTGTCCATCTTTAGCTGAGGCGCTGTGTGTTTATTGTCCATCTTTAGCTGAGGCGTCGTGTGTTTATTGTCCATCTTTAGCTGAGGCGTCGTGTGTTTGTTGTCCATCTTTAGCTGAGGCCTTGGTGGTGTTTGTTGTCCATCTTTAGCTGAGGCCTTGGTGGTGTGTTTGTTGTCCATCTTTAGCTGAGGCGTTGTGTGTTTATTGTCCATCTTTAGCTGAGGCGCTGTGTGTTTATTGTCCATCTTTAGCTGAGGCGCTGTGTGTTTATTGTCCATCTTTAGCTGAGGCGTCGTGTGTTTGTTGTCCATCTTTAGCTGAGGCCTTGGTGGTGTTTGTTGTCCATCTTTAGCTGAGGCGTCGTGTGTTTGTTGTCCATCTTTAGCTGAGGCGCTGTGAGTTTATTGTCCATCTTTAGCTGAGGCCTTGGTGGTGTTTGTTGTCCATCTTTAGCTGGGGCCTTGGTGGTGTTTGTTGTCCATCTTTAGCTGAGGCCTTTGTGGTGTTTGTTGTCCATCTTTAGCTGAGGCCTTTGTGGTGTTTGTTGTCCATCTTTAGCTGAGGCCTTGGTCGTGTGTTTGTTGTCCATCTTTAGCTGAGGCCTTGGTCGTGTGTTTGTTGTCCATCTTTAGCTGAGGCGCTGTGTGTTTGTTGTCCATCTTTAGCTGAGGCGCTGTGTGTTTATTGTCCATCTTTAGCTGAGGCCTTAGTGGTGTTTGTTGTCCATCTTTAGCTGAGGCGCTGTGTGGTGTTTATTGTCCATCTTTAGCTGAGGCCTTGGTGGTGTTTGTTGTCCATCTTTAGCTGAGGCCTTGGTCGTGTGTTTGTTGTCCATCTTTAGCAGAGGCCTTGGTTGTGTATGTTGTCCATCTTTAGCTGAGGCCTTGGTGGTGTTTGTTGTCCATCTTTAGCTGAGGCCTTGGTGGTGTTTGTTGTCCATCTTTAGCTGAGGCGTCGTGTGTTTGCTGTCCATCTTTAGCTGAGGCCTTGGTCGTGTGTTTGTTGTCCATCTTTAGCTGAGGCGCTGTGTGTTTATTGTCCATCTTTAGCTGAGGCGTCGTGTGTTTATTGTCCATCTTTAGCTGAGGCGTCGTGTGTTTGTTGTCCATCTTTAGCTGAGGCCTTGGTGGTGTTTGTTGTCCATCTTTAGCTGAGGCCTTGGTGGTGTGTTTGTTGTCCATCTTTAGCTGAGGCGTTGTGTGTTTATTGTCCATCTTTAGCTGAGGCGCTGTGTGTTTATTGTCCATCTTTAGCTGAGGCGCTGTGTGTTTATTGTCCATCTTTAGCTGAGGCGTCGTGTGTTTGTTGTCCATCTTTAGCTGAGGCCTTGGTGGTGTTTGTTGTCCATCTTTAGCTGAGGCGTCGTGTGTTTGTTGTCCATCTTTAGCTGAGGCGCTGTGAGTTTATTGTCCATCTTTAGCTGAGGCCTTGGTGGTGTTTGTTGTCCATCTTTAGCTGGGGCCTTGGTGGTGTTTGTTGTCCATCTTTAGCTGAGGCCTTTGTGGTGTTTGTTGTCCATCTTTAGCTGAGGCCTTTGTGGTGTTTGTTGTCCATCTTTAGCTGAGGCCTTGGTCGTGTGTTTGTTGTCCATCTTTAGCTGAGGCCTTGGTCGTGTGTTTGTTGTCCATCTTTAGCTGAGGCGCTGTGTGTTTGTTGTCCATCTTTAGCTGAGGCGCTGTGTGTTTATTGTCCATCTTTAGCTGAGGCCTTAGTGGTGTTTGTTGTCCATCTTTAGCTGAGGCGCTGTGTGGTGTTTATTGTCCATCTTTAGCTGAGGCCTTGGTGGTGTTTGTTGTCCATCTTTAGCTGAGGCCTTGGTCGTGTGTTTGTTGTCCATCTTTAGCAGAGGCCTTGGTTGTGTATGTTGTCCATCTTTAGCTGAGGCCTTGGTGGTGTTTGTTGTCCATCTTTAGCTGAGGCCTTGGTGGTGTTTGTTGTCCATCTTTAGCTGAGGCGTCGTGTGTTTGCTGTCCATCTTTAGCTGAGGCCTTGGTCGTGTGTTTGTTGTCCATCTTTAGCTGGGGCCTTGGTGGTGTTTGTTGTCCATCTTTAGCTGAGGCCTTGGTGGTGTTTGTTGTCCATCTTTAGCTGAGGCCTTGGTGGAGTTTGTTGTCCATCTTTAGCTGAGGCGCTGTGAGTTTGTTGTCCATCTTTAGCTGAGGCCTTGGTGGTGTTTGTTGTCCATCTTTAGCTGGGGCCTTGGTGGTGTTTATTGTCCATCTTTAGCTGAGGCCTTGGTGGTGTTTGTTGTCCATCTTTAGCAGAGGCCGGGTTTGTGGGGTTATAGTGGGTTCGGTTCAGTTAGGTTGGGTTTGATTAGGTTAGGCAAATTAGGTAATTTGGGTTAGGTTATTCTAAGCTGTATTGGCTTTGATTTAGTTGGGTTAATTTAGGTAGCGTTGCTTTGGCTAATGTTATCTTAAGCTGATAATGACTTTTCCATGCACATCAATAGGGTTGGTAAGTAGGTCACCAACCAGTTCTATGGCTCATGCAGGTTTTATTGAGCTGTAGAACTGGTTGGTGACCTACTTACCAGCCCTATTGTAATCTCAATTTACTCAATTGTGTCATACATTTGAAACTTTGCGACATCATTTAATGAGATTGGGCATGGATTTTTGCAATGATGTGTTACGATTTGGATGGGGATGATAAAAATGCGTAAAGTAGCGTGATGTAATTTGTAGACAAACCCCTTAATCGAAATTGTTTACATTTAATAGACGTATATTTTAAATTATGCATTTCTTAATAGTAGCAGGGGCCTATATTCATTTCCAAAGTTTGAACTATCAAAAGAGTAGATATCATTTGACTTGTTAGGGTTAGGTAAGTATTAAAGGCACAGAAAAAAATTACCTAGATTTAAGATAAAAGAACAAACAAGTATCCCGAACATTAGGTATGTTGTATAAATTATGGAAGGGTAAGGGATTCAAAACTATATGAAAAATAAATAATATTTAAATTTGGTGAAGGGTGTGGGGGGGGGGAAGACACTCGACCAGGAGCTTGACACCCATACGGTGTAACATATTTCGAGCTGTCACCCTGACCTTGACCCGGTTCCCGGTACGATATCCACAACATAAAACACCAGGACGGGAGATCTGAAAAGATAGGATTTACACGCGGACGTACGGGGGGTTTCCATGCGTATGTGCTGCCACGGGTGTGGCGACAGATTTTGGTGTGGCTGGGTAGAGACCACTGGGGACACCGCTGTTGACTGGGTCTGTGTATCTAGTTGAGATACGTGACTGAACATTGGGCCGCTACAGGGTGAAGTTTGAATGTAGGATTTAGTTCAAAGAACTGGAGGGGTTAAATGTGAATGAATATCGTGAAACTTAAGAGGTTAATTGAGAGTGAATATCGTGAAACTTAAGGGGTTAATTGAGAGTTAATATCTTGAAACTTAAGGGGTTAAATGTGAATGAATATCGTGAAACTTAAGGGGTTAATTGAGGGTGAATATCATGAAACTTAAGAGGTTAATTGAGAGTGAATATCGTGGAGTACAAGGGTTTAAGTGTTAATCCTCACCTTAACACCAAAGGAGTTAAGAGTGATATATTATAATGCTCAGGAATCAGTTTCTTTAAAAAATATTTTGACGTAACTGGGAGGGATGGAGGTGTACTTAATATTTCCGGAAGGGGGGCACTAGAAACTTCTTCCTGTGGACAATGGCTAAAATATATTTTTTCCATAAAAATATTATACCTTTTCTATTTGGCTCAAGTAAGGGTGGGGGGCGTGATCCGGAAAGATGCCTGAAACAGACATTGTAAGGAGCTGAATGGGTTAAACGTGAATGTACCTTAAGAAGTTAAATAGGATTTTTTTAAAATGTGATTATAGGGGCCTACACCTTAGCGTTGATAGGCAGTCTTAGTCAAACACTCGACTAACCCACCTTTCTATTAGACACACCAGTCACCAATGTGATAATAAATGATTGCATACACATACACGGCAATAAGAGCACTCGACATGACTGAAAACATGTGCTAGCGTTAATTAAAAGGACACGCTACGTGCATAGTTTCTAAAGAGCGTGTAATACAATATCAGAGTATATTTACAGAACTCTTTAACAGAGGAATAGTGTTTTTCGATTTCACTTAATCATGGTGGTATGTAACATGAATATTTTGAGATTCACTGTAATAAGTCGCGATTGTATCAATAATGACAACCTATGTTGTAGATAGGGGGGGATTGTGTTGACGAGGTTAATATATTTCGGGTTGATTGCATTCATCGATGTTATTTTATGAACACACAAACAAGGGATTCGTCTTGTCTAGTGGTTGTTTACTAGCTTAAAAGTTTTGTGGTGTTATATTTTCCCGTTTGTTAAGAATGATAACTTTTGTCTTTCAATGTCAATAATCGTGGGGGATTTTTAAAAACTATTCCTTTAGTGATGGTAAATGCTTTGTGTGATTTTTGTTTTAAATTTGAACTTGAAAACTTTCAAATTAAATTGAAATACCTACACCCGTCGTGCAAGTGCAGCCTTCAACCAACTAAAAAATGTTTTGGGGTTCTGGAGATTTAACCCTTGGAATAAAATCCGGTTCTTCAACAAACTAGTAAAACCTGTTTTACTCTATGGAGCTGAGACATGGAAAATAACTGCTATAAATAAGAAGAAAATACAACAATTTATAAACTCATGCCTCAGAAAGATCCTGCAAATTCGCTGGCCTAAAACCATCAGAAATTATGTTCTATGGCAATAGACAAATCAACTGCCAGTTGAAGTAGAGATCCTCCAGAGAAAAAAGGAATTTGATTGGCCACACACTCAGGAAGCCTGTATCCAGCATAACAAGACAGGCCCTATATATCAGACCCCACCTGGAATCCACAAGGCAGGAGGAAGAGAGGCAGACCAAGAAAGACCTGGAGACGTGACCTGGAAGAAGACACCAAGAAGATTGGATACACCTGGGGACAGTTGGAGAGACTAGCCCAGGACAGAGACGCCTGGAAAGCTCTTGTCAGCGGCTTATGTCCCAGGAGGGGCGACAGGCAAACATTACCTAACACCCGTACACATTCACACGCCACCCTTCGTCTTTCGCCATAGCATTTTTATCATTAAAATTAATTTCTTTAGTTACACGTGTGTTGTTAATAAAATTATAATTTAAACTCTATTTTTAAAAAGACATTATTTTTTCAAATGTGTATGGTTTGCTTGTGGAAGAGTTGGGTGGTACCAAATTACTCCCGGCCCCATCCTTGTCTTAGTTGACGTGTTGTCCTTTATACCAGGCCCATTCCCAACATGCAGACGGAAATTGAGGTCACCGTGTACCATCATGGCGTCATCTCTGACGACTTCCTTGGTTACGTTTCCATCCCGCTGTGGGAGCACAAGGTCACGGAGACATCCAAGAGCAGGTAACTAGAAAACTGTTTCCTCATTGGGTTAGTCTTTTGAATGGGTCGGCGTAGTCGGATAGTAGAGCATACTACATATGTGTATATATATATATATATATATATATATATATATATATATATATATATATATATATATATATATATATATATATATATATATATATGTCTTTCTCGTAGCTGGATCCCCCTCCACAACAAGCCAAACTCCAAATCTGGGGACAGCAAATACAGAGGCGAGCTGGAGGTCAAGCTGACATTTCACAACCAGAGCAGAACGGAAGTCTTGCCACATGGGCTGAAAAAACGGTCATCTTCTATCAGAAATCTGGCAACTTCTTTAGGTAAGGGTACTTGAAAATCTGGACATTTCGTCGGGATTGGAAATCTTGGGTTTTTTTATTGTTTTTTTTTTATAACGAAATTACTGTATTTAGGCCTGCCTATCAACTTTCTTGAGTTAAGGCGTCTTTGATTGCGCTGACACATATAAACCAATATGTTAATTACTTCAGCCTAATTTATTGTAAGCTTAATTTACTGTAAGTCTTCTGATTTTAATGTGTCCTTTTTATTTAAAAAAAAATGTTGTAGGGGATAAATTTAAATTCGCGAGAAGTCGCTCGTTTCGTGAGAACCGAAGAGACCCAGAGGGCGGGAAAGTCGACAAGAGCCGGACGTTGAGTAGCAGAGACTCAAACAATTCTCTGGAATCCACGGAGGTGAGTACTTCCGGTTCACTTATTTTTGTTACAATTTTTAAATCTGCTATTCATTCTGATGTTTTATTTGTGTTTATTTTATTTATAGCATGAGGGAATATTTTTATAAAGCGTTTTTTTGTTTTTCATTTTTTGCAAGCGCGCGTGGGTTTCTGAATGCGAATCAAATGTACAGTTGACCAAGCGGAATGCCTCAGCCGTCTGCTTGTTCAACGCACGTGCAAAAAAGCGATATTTCCTTTCAACGTGGAATCGCTCACGTGGCATTATGTACTCACTTCTGCTCTGTCTTCCTGGTTCTGAAAGGAAATTAAAATATTTGGTCTCAAATAGAAATTTTTACAGCTTTTATCAGGTTTCATACCGCTTGCGGGACGGGTGGATGGGGGGGGGGGGGGTTAAAAGTCTGTTGTTTTAAAGGGAGGCATCTCAAAGGTGGGGGGAGAACAGGCGTAGCTTGTCGTTAACAAGAAAGGATAATTAAAAGGGATTGACCACAATGGAATATTTTTTTTAAAGGGCTAAAATTAGACTTCTGATTCACGTATAAAGCCAGGTATTTCGTTTCGTTTTCAACTACTGCGGCAATTTAAGTTCTACACGCACTAAATATTTAATTACTTAATTCACATAAAAGATATTTTTAAATTTAAAAAAATGAAAATTGTAAAGAAAATTAAATAATTTTGAGAAGTAAACGCTTGTTATGAGAAAAATTAACGCTTCTACAAACGAGGCTTTGCAAAATTTACTTTTAAGGAGTAGAACGTAAAATATTTTCTTAACAACTTTAACGAATATAATTAAAGCACATTTGAAAACCCTCGAAAATGCTTGAAAAAACAGGTTTTTTTGTAGTGGGCCTAATGGGGTGAGGGGGGATATTATTTAACCTTTTAAAAATAAATTCAGAAGCTACAACAAAATACGTTAGTTTCTATGTGTGAATTTTAAAGTCTTTCAAAACGTTGTATAACACATGATACAACCCCCCACCCCCTCCCCCAACCACCACCACCATCACCACAGGGGGTATCACTAATGAATAGCCCCATCATCGGCCTGCTCCATACGGCATGTTACAACACACGCACCTCCTCTTTGTTGCCGACAAAGAAAGAAGAAATTCGAGGATTTCTAATGAGCCGCACCTGATCGCTCACAAGGACACGAAATTCGATGACTCACGCACCTTTGATTAGAATTCATCCTGGATTTTTTAATTACCCAGCAAGAAAGGCGCTATTTATCTAATACTTGCGTTACTTTAAATTGGGCTCATTTTGTTTTAGTTCAATCGTATGAACTATGGTTTATAGTTTTAAGAAATGGCTAGACAGTTTTAAAATCAAAAAATTCACTAGATGATTTATGCTGTATTTTTTACTTTTTAAAAACCTATTTCCAGTTGAATTAGCTCATAAATCAATCAATCTACTAAATTATGTTCTAAATGTGTCCAAAATATAATTACTATTCCACTTCCAGTAAATCAGTTTATACGCATATTTTAATAGAATATTTAAGCCCTAAATCGTGTTGTCTTTTATGTTTTGATTGTTGTTTGGCACTGTTTGTTTCCATTTTTCTTTAAATCCACATTTGCACAATCTGTCAATAGTACTTCTGTTTAACGTCTCGATTTAAGATATTTTGAGGGTTTAAGTTAAATACGTTGAATTCAGTCACTTAAATGTATTCGTTTACTTTAACTGATGTGTGTAGAAAATCAGGATTTAAATTCGAACAACGCAACTCTTTGATAAGTTGAGATGATGCCATAATTTAATGATGTTTCGTAAGAAAAGCGTGCAAGGTTGTTAACTGCAAACATATACTATACTGCTAATTATGAATATTTAGGGTACCGTCTTGAATTGACAGTAATTTGAGTTTGGCGTTAATTAATTAGTTTAAGCTGTCGCGTTACAAGTACCAGGTTAATCATTTCGATTGGCGAAGTTGTCGAAGAAATATTTTTTTTTACTGAATTATTGAGTTCATGTACATTAAAACACTCACTAATCATATCAACAATCGTTAAAAAAAACTAGTAATATCAATATCAACAACCGTTGGTGAAAGCTAGTAATATCGTTACCAATAGCTGTTAGTGAAAGCTAGTAATATCAATACCAATAACTGTCAATAAAGACTAGTAATATTTTAAAAATCAAAGACAAACAGTCACACTAAAAAAATAATTGTAAAGTAAACTAAATAAAAACATTCGCCATAAAAAAAACGACACGAGAAAAACTAGATCACAATTGTATCAAACAAATCACTGTAGTCCATTGATTCTCAATTTATTTGACACGCTGGCCCCTTAGAAAATTATTTACACGTGTACACGTACCATTTCTTAAACATTTTTTTTTATTAATGTAGAAGTTATTTTTCTGTAATTTTTATCTCACTATTATTATTAAATATCTCTTTATAATTAGCAGTCGCCAGTTTTAGAACCACTGTTGGTAAATAAAGAAAGTAGGGCTCTATTTTGGGGAGGGGGCAACTAGACTATAATGGTATACCTGTATGTGTCAACTTGACCCACGTTGTGTAGTGCTTACATTTTTATCTCAAAAAATTTCGTGAAAAAATGTTTGAAATTAATTAAGCTATAATGCCTAATGGTAATAGTGGACACATTTTAAAATCTCTTTTGATTGTGAGTTGTAAGCGTGAGTTAGACTAGTTGCCTTGGTGCAGTACTGTCAGGTCCTACAACCCCCTCCGTTAATCTACCCCCACCCCCCTTATGGCATAGTTATGTGTTATTTCATAGCAGCAGAACTTATTTCCTGTTTTAGATGCTTTTATCAATATTCTATTTTGATCTCTCTTCTATAAATATTAGTTAACCACTGCTATTTTTGTTTCATAATTTTCTAATTAACAGCCAATGTTTTTTTCGTTTATTTACCAAACTACACTCACAGCACATCATTTTGTATTTTAATCCACGCATCTTTCTCCCCCCTCCACTCTCCCAAATCACCCCCCCCCCCACCCAGACTGCCTCCATGAGAAGCAGCTCCCACTACGCCCAGCCCTCTGTCCACTTTTCAGCCCTGGACGTCAACCGTGTCCCGTGGGGCATTAACCCCAATGCTCCGGTAACAAGCCTCTATATGAACTATTGGTTTTTTTTTCTTCCTGCTTTTGCTTCCTTTTCCACATTTTTTTTTATTTGCATGCGCATCGTAGCTGTTGTCTTTTCACATTTGTTTTAAACTTCTATAAAAAAATATTTTTAAATACTTAATCATAATGTTCATTGTATTTAAATTGATCTTATTGTTAAAAATTTAGTCAAATGAAATTTATAGCAATGCAATGTAAATATTTAACCATATGTGTTTCTATCATACGAATATAATATTGATATCAGAAACCAAATAAGTATTTAAATCAGTGTATTCAAGCTTCTTACTCTTTGGTAACTGAGATTTATGGAGGCAATATAGTAACACAACCATAAAGATTTAAACATTTATAACATGGTTATAAACTTTATTTTAAACAATATAAATGAAAATATAAAAATGCTGTCAAGATGTTTATATGTTACTTATGTTAATTTTTTTTATAACCCTATTACACATTCGTTTTAAAGATTCAAGGTCAGCTTATCACCAAATTTAATCAAGATTTACTTAGTGGTTTAGCATACAATAATTTATTCTGACCCTAGGTGATGGAAAATGTATTTTTAAAACACTGCTTTTAGATGTACTTGTAGGATTTTTAAAATAGATTTTCCCCATGCCTTGTGCAAATTATAGTTTGTTTTGATAAGTCTACGAAACGCTTCCAAATGCACATTTGCGTAATTGGATATGTAACACAATCTTGTCGCAAAGATGGAGCGACATTTAACAGGTCATGTTGTGCATTGATAATTACACTGACCACAATGTTACCTCTAAACAATACGTTTTATATTTAAACAACATGCATGCTCATTTTTTTTCCTGATGAAATTATTTCCGAACGTTAAAAAAAGACTGTTATTTTGTCTATCTTTTACTCCTTTAAATAAGACTACCAAGTGTTCTGTTTTTAATTACTGTACTCATTAGACGAGCTGTTTATACTTTTTATATCCATTTTGTTGTATAATTATATATATATATATATATATATATATATATATATATATATATATATATATATATATATATATATATATATATAGGCCTATATATATATATATATATATATAGGCCTATATATATATATATATATATATATATATATATATATATATATATATATATATATATATATCTATATAGGCCTATATATATATATATCTATATAGGCCTATATATATATATCTATATATATATATATATATATATATATATATATATATATATATATATATATATATATATATATATATAAAGATATTAGTGATAGGAGGTGAAGCGTAGAATGTTGAAGTATGGATCTACACCCCCCCCCCCCCACTCCCCTCCCGCCTTCTGCACACATATACACTGTCCACAGTGCGTTACCCACCCCATTCAACAATAGCTCAATAGTGTGTCCCTTATTTCTCCAAAAATTACTAAACATATTACGTCACATTTCTCCCCTCCCCCTATCTTCCCCCCCCCCCTCCCCAACCCCCTTATTCAACCGTACCTTTTGTCCCTCGAAAATCGGGCAACGCGTTGGGTAAAAAAAAAAATCAAATGTGCCCAAAGATTTGGTGCCGATCGTACGTGTCGGTTATGGGCAACTGGAACATGCATGCTATTCACAGACAATAACAAAAGTTCTACGGCTGACTAATGCAGTATTTAAGATTCCCCCCCCCCCCACCCCAACCTCCCTTTTTCTGCCTTCTTAAGAAACACAACAGTGACTCATCATTTTTTTAAAAATGAGTAATCCCGGAAAGGGGTTGTAGCTAAGAGTGCAAGGTATTTATTTTTTTGATTTCTTGATCTGGCTTTTTTTATCGTGATTTTGTTCCGCATAATTATTTTTTAAATGAAAATCAGAACCACTGATTGCAGTACATAACAATATACAGCTTATTTTTTGTGAAAAGCAGCTAATATTCTGAACTGTATAGATAGGGGTTTCTTAGTTCGAAATATCAGATGCATTAAAAATGTATGCAGAGTATAATGTATTAGCTAAGTATAGATTACGTTATCGTTTAAAGTACGAGTAGCAGGAGTATATAGTACGAGCCGACCCGTAGCGTATCATACGCCGCTATTTAGTAGTTTTATTTTCTACTTTTCTGTAATTCATAATTTGTGAATTCGACAGTACCAATGCTGCCAATGAAAATATTTGCTTTAAAACACTAAACCCCCATCCCCCCCCCCCCCCCCCCCCCCGTGAAAGCAGCCTCCTCTTAGTTACCTCTAAGTTTAAAATAGTTTCAAACTGAATTATCTGCCCCTAATAGCCGTCACCAAACAAAACATTTAGCGTGAACTACAACTCACCTGACCATGTGAGGGGGGTGGGGGTGGAGTGGGTGGTAGCGATAGAGAGGATGAGAGGAAGAGAGGGGACTGCAAGGCGCGCGTTTGCAGCTTGTTTTCTAACGGCTCCCAGAAGAGAATTATATATATAGATAGATTATAGATTTAACAAGGACATTGTATTTAAAAGCAGGACAAGCAGCATAATATTTGAAACAGATAAGTTTAAGCAAAAAGATAAAAACAGATATCAAGATCTATCTACACCATGAAGCAGTTTTAACAAGCAGGTAAAACATGTAATGGACAAGGGTCCGCTAAGTCGGAGAGCCGTGTTGACGTTGGGCGATCAATTTAATGGCAGTAAAACGAGATTAACGGATTAGCTCAACTCGGCGTTACCGGTAGCGATTTCGGCTTTGTCGTTTCATGCATCATCGATTTTCAGCCACGGTCTTCTGTTGTGTGGACGCTCTTTGTCGTTTGGAAACTATTTTTTCTCCGGGTAGCGTGGTATCGATTAGTGTGGGCTGTTAGATATATTTTTAAAACTATAACAAATGTAAGCTAGGCTTAAATAAATGAAACAAAATGTATTACTAGCGCTATATCTTGATGCATGATAATGTTTATTAAATCGATATTTTAGCGCAGGCCAGGGTATTTAAATCTAATTTATCTAAATGTTTTAAAATGGTACGTGAGTTCTTTGTGCAGGCTACCATCAAAGGCTACGTCTAACCCCTATAGTAAATATGACCATCTGTTTCATAATTTAACGAATCTTAATTCAATCGAGCTAACGTTAGCATAATATACAAAGAGTCTACGCTAGAAATCGTTTAATTAATACGCTCTATTTTGTCATGTCAAAAATAATTTAATTCTTTGAAAAAAATGTTTTAATTATAAATGATGAATAATAAAAAACTAAAACGAGTTAGGTTTATAGTCTATATGTTAGCAT